TTCAGTAAGTCAGTATGACGTTCCGTTTGATGCACAAAGCTGTCCAACTTACGTACAGCTCTCTGGCTCTTTCTATGTTACAGTGAAAATATTTGATTCATTTTTGTATTTACTTTTTTGCTGTGAACTTCAAATAAGTTGTTAATGTGTGAGTATACATACACAATTACTGCTGAATCTCTGAGCTGGCTTTTAAGCTTTGGAGGCCTACTAATGCTTGCTTTTCCAAACCTGCCTTTGATAACCCCCAGCACCTCACCACACGACTCTCCCTTTGGTTAAAAGGGGGTTAACCGGACTAAATCCGCCACAGTGATTTCCCCCCTAACGGCCGGCCCAGGCACACCCCCCCCCCACCGCCCTTCTCTCTTTCACTGTATCACTCTCTTTTTCTCCACCTTGGACATGCTGATGTCCATTTTGCTTAAATCGCGAGAACTGCACCAGCAGCTAACTCCCAATATGCAAAGGCACAATGAAAGCCCTGACTTCAAAATTTATGTCTCAAGCCCTCGGCCTCATCCACACCCACCCAGCCTCACTGAATGGACCACGGCAGATCTTCTTAAATGTGGCATTTTTAAAGCGGACTGCTTAGCTTGGACTTTGGGGTCCACTCTTGCTTATTTGATAAAACCCCCTATAATGACTTAGCGCACCTCAAATACCTTGATATGATTTGTCCCTTCATTGCCCATATTTTTTACCTCCCTTTTTCCTCCTCCGTAGGCAGATTTGAGTCTTGAGAGCGTCTGTCTTTCACTGTTGCAAGCTTGGGTAGAATATCTTACTCTGCCGCGTCAGGTTAGAGGCCTCAGGTCTTTTAGGCCCCCTGCTCAACACTGAGGCCCCAGTTTACTTTTGGCTTGCATCAGTTACATTATGCAACCATTCATGGTCAGCTGGTATTTAGGCTTTGATAATATCTTGTAATGGCTTACTGAGAAAGCGTCTGATAGCAATAGCAAAATTAGGACTGTGCTGTTTGTTTTTATTAAGTATTTCCACCAAGTGTTTCCCAGCTCTAGTCTTGTGTTCCACCTGTACAACATAGTTTTGTCTTTTCCCAGCACTTAAATCACATTATAATCTAGTCCAGCATGAATTGAATCAGATGTGCTAAAACAGAAACACACTAAACTATGCAGTGCGGCAAGATTTCTCAGGATTAAACAGTTAACTTAAGCCAAAACTTAATCATTCCCTGTAGGAGAAAAGGTAAAAGGACATGTCTCACTTTTGACTTAATTGTTACTGAGAAATCCTGCTTGGATAGACTATAAGACTAGAACCTCTGGTCTACTCTGGCTGTGTCTCAATTCAACCCCTTTTTCTGTATAGCACAAAGGTGAACGACCTGATCATGACCTGAGCCAGATTTACTGGAACATTCGGCCCTGCTGGAAAACATGTGACACTGGCTGAATCCAAATATTTGAATGAAACTTTTTTCCTTTTTTTTTTTCCTGCTTTGCTTTCCTTGATTTTGCCTGATCTGTAACGCATGGACCACTACAGGCATAAGGGGGACAAACGGGCAATCGCACTGTGGCCCACAGCACAAAGAAGACCACAGTAAAATCTTTCTTGGACCCGTCATATTGGCACAATTGTGCACATATGACTCCTGTAAGTAAAGGGGAGGGCATTAGGTATTTTTTTGCACTCGGGCCCATAAGGTCCTAGTTACACCACTGGCCTCACCAAATATATTGGCAGAGCTGACTAGCGTGTAGATTCGCATAGTAATCATCAAAGGCAAAACCAAAGAAAGCAGATGGGGGAAAGAACTTAATTCAATTATTCTGTCACAGCTTCTGTTTCACATTCAGGTGCAGTAGTAGGCTAACTGACTGGCGAACATTTGGCAAACAACCTAACAACTAACAAAAGATTGGCAGCATATTAGGCTGCACATTTCGTCATTTAAAAAAACACTATTTAGGCTCTTCTAATATAGCCTTTGATATAGCCTACGGTGGAGGGGCTGTACTGTGGGTCAGCTGTGGCCTGCCCAGCATGCTTTGCAATAGCGATAATCCATCAGTTAAAGTGCTGTGACTTGCTTAGCTCTTGGCCCTTAATTCTTTGTGACGTTGCTTTGTTGTTTTCATGATATTTTACATTTACTGTTTTGTTTCTTAAAGCTCTGTATCTGTTCTTTTACTCTTCTGTTTCTTTGGTAGACAGTTCATGTTGCTATGTTGCTGTTATATACACTTGTAGAAAAGAATGGCTGGCTATGTCTCGAACAAGTCCAAAAGCTTAGATGGGCATATCCACTCTTACAATGACAAAATGCACCCCAACAGATAGCATACAATCAATGTGTCCTGGTGGACAGAGAATACTTATACTACACTGTGTTTTATGCGACTGAATTTGATTACTATCAAATTATACAATAAATTACTATACAATGAGCAAAGCTGTTTAAACTTAGCATACAAAATCATTTAATTGAATCACATACTCTGCTGTCTGTAATAGTGCTCTGCATGGATTTTCCCATGCAGGGAATAGGGATCCATCTTAAAACTTTATCCTTCTTAAAACTTCTTGCTCTTCTGGTTCTTGGTTTGAATGAACACTTCTAGCTCTTTGATTGTTTTCGAACATTTACATTTTGTAGAACATTTTTTAAACTTTTAAATGGTTCTTCACACTCACACATTTACAAAAATGGTTATTTAAAGAACCATTCAGTGAAAGTTTCTTCAGAGACCCAAAAGTAGTTATTTTGTGATATCACTTGAAAGAACCCTTTTAATAAGAGTGTACATTTTTGGCAAATGACCGTCTGTGGAATTAAAGAGAGTGGCCTGGTTAGGCCATGTAGGGGGATCAGGTCTATAGGAACATTGAGACTTTCAATTTTGAAAATGTAGCTATTTTAAAACAGTTTAACTTGTAAATGAAGCAGTGATTGACAATTCAGCTACCAACTTGAACAAAATCTTTTGTTGTTGGTTGGTTTGATATGCAATTGCTTATAGGATGCACTAGCTGCGCCAGTCACAGCCTGTCCCAAAGTCCACACAAACCCTTGTTAAGTCCACTAGTGTGCAGGTATGCATCGTATCTTTGTGGGATGTTCTTGCTATGTTATATGTGTTCTTTCCTAATATTTCTGAAACAGCATGTTAGAACACCAGTGCTGTGGGATCTATACTTAGCCCAGCACAGCTTAGATGCTGTATGCAGGGAGGGATGCATTTAGTGTGTAGTCTTAGACACTGTCTTTTTGCACATTTGAGAAATGGGGCACACTTAGACACTTGCCAGAAAGCACATGAAAGTGTGAACTTTGGAACAGGCCAATTGGTCACAGGTTAGTTCCCTACATTTTGAGGTGCACTGTGGAATGTCATTACGGGAAGAGCTTTCCAGTGAGCTTTCCAAAAGCTCTGATTTAGACATATCATAACCCACTTTCTCCCATAATGCTAATCGGTGACCCAGGCGTGCTGGCCCCAGGTCTTCAACACTGTTCACCCAGGGGTGCTGAGGGGGGCTTTAATTATTTGTCGATCCGCGCAGATGAGTCGTGAGGCGATTAGGGGTTAATTGCGAATGAAATCCGGCTCTTCCCGTCCTAATGAAGCCATCCGCTCCCACTGCTCTTTTATTATTATTTTATTTTCTCTCTTCTTCCGGTGGAAATGAGGATTGATTTTATCGCCAGATGTAACGGCGTAACGGGTGAGAAGTGAAAAGGGCACTGCAGGAATCAGCACGCCATCAATAGTGGGGTCGTTCTTAACCTTCCTGCACTCACGGAAGGATCTGTCATTAAACACATAAGTCTTGTTTATAATAAATTACATCGGGGAAAAAAGTCCTTTATCCGCCTTTTCTATCAATTTACTATAACAGTTCCTTGTTACGTGGGTAGCCTGAAGACCCTGTGTTTAACCTGCACCTTTTAAGTGCCCTTAAAAACGCATGCCTTAAGACTATTGATATGGTTTTAACGTCCAGTACAGACCATGTCCTGATTCCGCCGTTTTTTTTTCTCATTCGTCAATCATGTGTTGGACATGAAGGTACAAAGGTGATCTTTTACCTATTTATTCTAATCCTTATTTTATTTGTACCCTTCAAATTATGAAAAGCGAGCCTTTAAACGTCTTCAGTTCACTTCGCTATAATGCAGCAGTGCACATTATTTTTGCATTATTTAATCTTTTTAAAGATCCTCTTCTTCAGTTTAGAATACCTCACATCCATTTTGCTGTTACTGTGTATTATAATGTCATACAGCATCAGATAATTGTGGACATTAAGAAACTCTTTTTAAGTCCAGTTTCGGCTGTGCAGCTTACTACTGCGTTGTTTTAACTAAGCAAATGCGTGAAAATTATGTTTTGGCTGATGGCATCAAACCACAAAAGCCATTTCAGTGGGGGAATGGTTATTCAGTATCTATGACGTGAGTTTGCTGTATTATTAAACGCACTGGAGCTTTTTATCACCAAGCACTTTGAAGTCAACCTGTCAAGATGTGAAAGAACAGTTTTAGGTAAACATTAAAGACGTTAACGTAGAAGTTCCAGGTTAAAAAAAAAAAAAAACTATCCTCTCCCCGTTTGCGAAACTTCTTCTCTTATCAATTTGTGGAATTGCCACTAGGGGGCGAGACGGAGCCGCTCTGCGCGCCCGCTGTCATTTTTTTGTCCACCTACATTCCGACAAAGCCCCGCCTCCTGCGCTGGGATTGGCTACTCGTTAATGCTCGCAAGAAGCGCCCTGCTGTATGCGAGTTTGAACTATTAGCCAGTTGCAGTGCAGGAGGCAGAGCTTTGCCCGAATACGGGCGGAAAAGAAGAAGAAGGAAAACCGCGCCAAAACAGCTGCCGCGCTTACCCCGGTTCGCCCTATAGCGGGAGGTTACTGCGGGAATATGCAAATTTTCATCTATCGCCTCCTCCTATTGGTCCACCTTGAACTCCGCGTGTATAAATGGAACAGAGAGCTGGCATTTCTCGCCAGTACTTCAGTGGACAGAGTAGAGGTGGGGTACAGAGCACAAGCCCTGAAAGAGAGCGAAAAAAGAAAGACAGAAAAAGAGAGAAAAGAAAGAAAAAAGGAAGGTGTTTACAAGGAAGTATAGTTTTACACCCACCGAAAACGTGAAACAAACGAGAAGCGAAGAGAAGAGAAGGCCCGCAGGTACCCCGGGATATGCGCTGACAAACTGTGTGACTGGGGTGTCCTATCGCCGGAACTTACTGTGATTATCTGTTGTTGTTTTGATGTGTATTCCTGCTATGTTTCTCGGTGACTTTCTGAAGCGTCTAGTCATTCCACCGGACTCGAGTGGTGAAGTTTGACTAAAGACTGATTTCCAGTCAAGTTGAGAGAAGAAAACTTTCTGGGCCTCCTGTCCCAATGAAGCTACACACTTCTTGCTTCCAGGTTTTGTGAAGGACTAAAACGTCTTGACGACGAATCAGGATAACAAGAGCCCAGAATCGTACTTTTTTGGCGTATTACTTTTTGTTTTTCACGCCGAGGACCGTCTGTCCAGAAGGCCTGTAACAGGACTGAGGGTGAAGCGAGGACAAGACAGGTCGGTGCTTCTGAAGTTTCAGGTTTCCGGTGTTATTAAAGGAGATCGTTGAGCAGGAGGAGCTGCCAGGTGGACAAGTTCACGCACACGGGTGCTTTACCCTACACCCCCCCACCACACCCTTCACATACACACCACCAGCAGCACCCTCACTCGAGACATAAGCTGTTTTAAGGACTACTCAGACTCGGGCGTCCGTCTGTGTTCGTGCACATGTGCTAAACTGCTCACCCACCAAAACCCACCATTGCCACCCTGATCAGAGAAGGACTGCAGTCTCGGTGCCACACCACCAGCACCAGCAGCAGCAGCACCACCCTCCCTCCCCCTTCGTTTCCACGCGCCATCGCATGGACTGCCGCTGACGTTGACATGGCCGCGGACCTCGCCATGAGCGCCGGCGAGCTGCCCAACAGCCCCCTGGCCATCGAGTACGTGAACGACTTCGACCTCATGAAGTTCGAGGTGAAGAAGGAGCCGCCCGAATCCGAGCGCTACTGCCACCGCCTGCCGCCAGGCTCGCTCTCCTCCACGCCCATCAGCACGCCGTGCTCCTCCGTGCCTTCGTCGCCTAGCTTCTGCGCCCCCAGCCCGGGCGCCCAGCCAGGCCACAACCTCGCCAACGGCGTCGCCAACAACAGCAACGGCGCCAACGGCACCGCTAACGGCGTCAACGGCAGCGGCAACAACCAGGGCGCATCTGGCAAGGCGGCGCAGCTGGAGGACCTCTACTGGATCCCCAACTACCAGCACCACGTGAGCCCAGAGGCCCTGAACCTGACCCCGGAGGACGCCGTGGAGGCGCTCATCGGTAACGCGCACCACCATCACCACCACCACCACCACGCGCACCAGGCGTACGAGGGCGCGGGCTTCCGCGCGCAGCAGTACGTGGGCGAGGACCTCAGCACGGCCACGAGCCACCACCACGGCCACCACCACCACCATCACCACCACGGGCACCACCACCACGCGCACGCGCGTCTTGAGGACCGCTTCTCGGACGAGCAGCTCGTCAGCATGACGGTGCGCGAGCTGAACCGGCAGCTGCGCGGCTTCAGCAAGGAGGAGGTGATCCGGCTCAAGCAGAAGCGGCGCACGCTGAAGAACCGCGGCTACGCGCAGTCGTGCCGCTTCAAGCGCGTGCAGCAGCGGCACATGCTCGAGACGGAGAAGTGCACGCTGCAGAACCAGGTGGAGCAGCTCAAGCAGGACGTGGCGCGACTCACAAAGGAGCGAGACCTCTACAAGGAGAAGTACGAGAAGCTCGCGAGCCGGAGCTTCGGCGGCGGCGGTGGCGGCAACCGGGACCCGTCCAGCGGCAACCACGGCAAAGCTTCGTCTGCGGAGTTCTTCATGTGAGAATGCTCTGTGTCTTAGACTCTTTTTTTAGTTCTTGTTCTTGCTCCACAACAACGGGTTCATCATCATCATCATCATCATTAGTATTCATTTTTTTAAACTTTTGTTTCTGTCTCTCTCAGAGTGAACTTTTATTCACAGTCCGTGCTGTTGTGTTCAGACAGACTCAGACCTTTTAGCAGTGAACTGCGCGCACGTGGTGGCGCGTGTAGACTCTTAGACTCTTAGACTCATAGACCGCTTCAGAAGTCTTAACATAGTTAACGCAGTGCGCTCCTAGAGAAGCTGTGAACTTCAACAAGGGATCACTATCATCACCACCGGTCAGACATTTCCAATCAAACCATCTGCAATCAGACATCTCCAATCAAACCGCCTGAAGTCAGACATCTCCAATTGAATCATCTCCAATCAAAACGCAGTATGTTGTTTATCTCATTAGTCTATAATACAACCAACATCAGCGTAAGTCTTTTTCTTTTTCCTTCAGTATTAGCGTTGGTTTTCAGTTTTATTTTTATTAGTTTTTGTTCACACATTACCGTACGGCTTTTCTTCTTCTTCTTTTTTTTTAATAATAATAACAAAAGTCTTATAAAGTCACCCAAACCCACCTCATATTAAGACTGAACTGTCAACTTAACTCATTTCAGTTTTACTGCTCTTGTAACGGACCGGCACGAGTCTTAAAGTCGTGGGGAAACTTAATGGAACTCCAATTTTATTTTAGTTATTATTATTATCATCATTATAATTATTGTTATGTATTTTCATTTTGATCGGACTTAATGAGAAAACACAAAACAACGAACGAACGAACGAAGAAGGGAAAAAGCAATACGTGGTCTTCTTTCTCCACCTCCTCGTCTTTGGACAGTGTGTGTGTGTGTGTGTGTGTGTGTGTGTGTGTGTGAGAGAGAGAGAGAGAGAGCGTGTGTGACACTCCAGAGCGCCTCGTGAACTTCAGCATTGCGCCCTCGACCCTGCATGCGGGACATGTACGGTGCTTCAGCCCCCCCATTACACACCTGGATGAAAAGCATGGCCCATAAATACCTCCTCAGACCTTCATCCTCTTCTCCTCCTCCTCTCCCTCCTGCTGTGGTGAAAAATAAAACGTGTGTAACCTCTTCAACTGCGACAGAACAAGTTCAGGACAGAACTGAGTCGAATATTTCCATGAAGGTTTTTTCATAAAGGTTTGTTTGTTTTTCTAACTATCAAACCAACAAAATAAGGACACACGAAACGAACTGAGCCAGATTTGATTTATTTATTCTCACATGTAAATATGTAGAGATGAGTTTAGTGTGTTAATTTACATGACTCTTTTTTTCAAAGTCCTCTCTCTCTTTCTTTTTCGTTTGTTTGCTTGTTTATTTAAAACGTCTTAATGCAATGTTTGTATGTAAAAGCATGCAAATGGTCAACGATATTCTCTTCCTATCCATAAATGTACAATATAAAAGAGAAGCCTACTGCACTATGGCGAGAAGAATTGGGGCGGGGGGGGGCGGGGGGTAAGCCCAAATCGATTTGTATTGGATGAATGGTACATAAGCTACTTCATCTAGGACAAGGACTTCAGTCGCTGCTATATTCTATGCATCTAATTACTCAAAAGCAATTAACGAGCTCAGAATATGTGAATTTTTGTGCTTAAAACGAATACCAAACGAGTAGAAGATCTCCACTTGGGGAGAGATAAATGTTAGATGTTAAAAAGCTCCAGCATCTCTAACATTCTAGTGATTTTCCAGCACAGCCAGGCTCGACATCACCTGAGACGTTCCGAGCTGATAGAGAGCGATGTGTCACAGCTGATGGGAAAAAAGAACAGCTGACTGAACAGGACTAAACTGTGCTCCGTGTTGGTGGATTATTGAGACCCGCAGTCTTGTCGAACTGAGTGTAAACTGAATATACCAGCTCACTGCGGTCATTAACTGTTGCTAAATATATGAATCACGTTCATTAATTGCATTACAGTGAGGTGAGGGCTGTGAGCGTGGCTGGAGCTTCAATCATAGTTCTGATCATTTGACTGGCGTTCAGCTCGTTTTAAGGAGAATGTGCAATAGAAATGACCCCAGTATACTGACCTAAACAACACACATAAAGTCTCAGTAGCTTATGGAGAATACGATGCTCCACCCCAGACCTCCAGCTGACATTTAATGGCCCGTTTTGCCAAAATAAGGGCCGTCCTGGCTTTTCTTCAGTGGTCTCTCCACACGTAGAGTTCTGCTTTATTTGGGTTTTAGCGGGAATGGTCATTGGAGGCCAGCTGAACAGTTTCTCACTGAGCGCTCATGCGGTGGCTCTGACTGTGATTCGGTCACATGTAAAGGAAGCTCCTGAGAGAGACATGTGCTGGATGTGTAAAAATACTGTACATACGATTTCTATATATTTATTCTAGAAACATTTAATGTGCATAACGTGTCGATACGTCTAAACTGAAATGTTTCTGACTGGAATGTTGTTCAGACTCTTGTTTTCATAATGTTTAATAAAAAGTTCTGGCAAACGAGGCTTCGCTCTCTTTCTCTGTCCCTGCACGCGGGATGTAGGACTTTTAAAGTGTTAAATAAAGCCGGATTATCTGCGCTATTGGACCCGCTAATACTGTAAAAATGAACGTTCAGTTAACATAAAAAATTAGCTAATTAAATAAATAGCAGTAAATAATAAACAGTATTAATGTTAGGCTGTATTTGGGCTCATGACCTCTAAGACCAACAGGATGATCACTTCCAGGCTGCTTCAGTTCAGCTTATTTCATCAAGTGTAACGTTTCATTAGTATAACATTTTAAATAATAATAATAATAATAATAATAATAATAATAATAATAACCTAATAAATCCCTGCAATACCGCTCGCATTTGTCAGATTTCACTGTTATAGGAATTAATCGTCATTTCATAAACTTCAGTTAAAAATATGCTTTTTAAATTTTGAAACACAAAAAGCAATTAAACGACTATAACAATAACATTATATTTGAGAGTGTAATAATGTGGCATATATCTGTATCAGAAAATAGTAATAATAATAATAATAATAATAATAACGATAAGGCCTTCGCCGGTCTACCTACCTACGCTAAAATTGCCTTCGCCGATCTGCTTATACACATTATTATTATTATTATTATTATTATTATTGGGCTATGAATACTATTCATTAATTACTGATCACCAGAGGAAACGCCACTGATTGATTGTGATTGTTTTATTTCGTTCTTCTAATAATTTTACGCGAGATCCGTAAATAAATTAAAAGCAGTGAGGCGCGTGTGAGAGTGTCCTGTGCGCGCGCTCTCACTGTTCATCACAGCTGTTAAAGCGGACAGTGTCATGATGATCTGAACTCGGGATCAAGGACTTCAGTCTCATTTAGCAGCAGATGAGAGTGTGTATACCTCACTGTTACTGAGTTTACACACACACACACACACACACACACACACACACACACACCTGTCCCTCACAGCTCTGTTCTCTTCTATTTAATTACTCGTTCACGCGTAAATTCAGCTCATCTCACTCCTTTTAACGAACTCGTGTTAAACAATTCATCTACCTGCGTTACTCAGCAAGACTGGAGTATTTTCTAGTGAACCTCAGTAGAGAATTTAAACGGAAGGACACGTTTGTCACATCTTTTTGAGAATATCCCAAAGTGCACTAACTGAAGCAGAAGAACATGGCAAACGCTGCTTAGTCCAATGCAGGATAATAAACAATCAGTAATGTACTGGTTATAATAGAGAGAGAGAGAGAGAGAGAGAGAGAGAGAGAGAGAGAGAGACCTGCATGTGCTCCCCAATCTGAGGATCCAATTGGAGACTTTTTAATTTAGATCTATTACACCTAATTGTACACATGCCCTTTTCCTGTTCAGTAACCTTCTCCTATTTCAATATTACATTCTCTTCGGTCTGTTCACTTCCATTTTTCTTCTGTTCAGTTAAACAGTATGCATGGTCTAATTGAATGGGAAGACATTGGAGTAAATCAAATAGATAAACACAGATAAATACAGATAAATATAGATGAATATAGATACAGTCTCTTACAGATGTGTGTGTAAACCACACGGTGCTGTTAGTGGTGATGTTCACAACTGTGTGTGTGTGTATGAGTGTGTGAGAGACAGAGCGAGAGAGGGTGAAAGTGAATGAGAGTGGGCAGTGAGAGAGGACTGCTGGAGAGGCTCCTTGGCTTTCGGAGCCTTAAGTGTCCACACTGGTTTTCCTCAGGCTGCGGCGTCTCTATGTGTAACAGTGATCTTCACTGCTTCAGACCATGTTATAACTCCCTGTGCACACCTCTCAGTGGTGATTACACTATTACAAAATGCACAGTTGCACTATGGGCATTTGGATGAGCTGACTATAATCTAAATGTATTTTTGGCTATAGAGAAGCATTAGTCTAAATTACGGTGCTCAGCGCAGTGTTGGGGCTGAGAAAAAAAAAGAAATAGGGATTAATGAACGGACAGTATTTAAAAAAAAGTTGCAATTTTCTGAAACAATGCTATTCATTTATTTGCACAGTACTGAGCAAAAGTCAGAGATGACAATTCATTTGTTTAATTTCCAGTCAGAACAGATATGAAGTACAAGTTATTATTCAGTCAGGATAAGAGCAGGAAACATATATTTAACAGAAAATACACTGTCAACTCTGCTTTTATCACAGCTTCCTTTCTTTTTAGAAGACTTTCTTTCAGTTTTTCAAAGGAAAAGCAGTCTTAGAGGTTAATTGTATTTTCTGCTTCTCACAATCCAAGCAATCCCAAACACATTCAGTGATGGTCTGGACTCTGGGGAGGTCAGTCGATTGTTCTAAGAACACCAGCAGCTTTTCTCCTCTCTCTCAAAGATGAAAGCTTTAAGTACTGTTTATCTGATTTTGACAGTTTTGGTGGTCTGTTGTGTCTTTCATAGTTATTTGGAGTCCAATTTTCTCTGTATGTAAAAGAAAAAAA